CCCCCACCCATCTCCAAATACCCTTTTAATTCAAAGGCAGCCAACTCACTCTTCATTACGAGGGGCTAATGATAAGCCCCTTCCATCTCTTTCTTCTTCCTGGTTGCATTTGAGGACTCACTGCTTGTTAGTAAGGTATAAATGGGTAATGAATAGATAAAAGCAGCCAACAAATTAACCATTGGTCTGGTGAGGGAGGTGGACAACTTATCTGTGGATTTCAATTTTCAATGTTTTGTCACTTTTCCTGCCTCCCCCCACAACATACAACTATCTCCTCACAAGTCTTCTCCAACTCAGCAAAATGAGAAGATTTACATCTCATTCAACACGCTAGATGATTTAGCTAAACAAATCCATACACGTGCCTTGGCTGTGTCCGCGAGTTCTTTCCCAGGAGTCTCAGAGGCTGAAAGCAAAGCCTCCTTCGCTGTGTGACTGCTCATTCACTCTAAACTTGAGGACTCAGCCGAGTGTTCCCTTAACTATGCCACCTGGTAACACTGCTCTGGAAGTTCAAGTTAATTCTGGTCACCAAGAAGAGATCTCTTAAAAACATGTTTTAACTACATTACATAGTAATGGTCTTCAATACAATTTTGATTTTCCCCCGTCTTCGGTTGGCAAGTTTGGATAGCTGAATAAATGTCAGACCAAACCCAGGAGAGACTGACATAGTAATGGCATTCGTGTTCTTGGCTACCTTCCCTCTGTCATACTGCCCCTTTCCCCCCATCCTGCCCCTGTGCCATAATTCAAGGAACATCAGTTGGCTACATATAGCTAATGCAGAAGAACAAAGCTAACGTTTGCCAATTCCAGTCAACGTGACCTAATCCCCATAACAACTCTCTGAAATAGATACTAAACATCCCATTTTTACAGTGAGGAAACTGATGCTTAATAAGGTTAAGAGGCAGAGAAGTGACTTTAAAGACTTACCCGCGTAGCTCCTGTTTTTTCTACTAGACCGCACTGCTCTTGACCACACAATACAGATGTTTCTCTCTACACAGAAACATTACTTGATAGGGCTCCTGGGTAGCTCAGTCGGTTGAACGTCCGCCTTCAGCTCAGGTCATGATCTCGCGGTTCATGGGTTCAAGCCACGCATTGGGCTGTGTGCTGACAGCTAGCTCAGGGCCTGGAACTTGCTTTGGATTCTGTATCTCCCTCTCTCTCTGACCCTCCCCTGCTCATGCTGCCTCTCCGTCTCTCTCTCAGAAATAAAAAAAACATTAAAAAAAATTTTTTTTTAAAGAAACATTACTTGGCAAGGGACTTCACAGACAAAATATTAGACCTGAGTTCAAATCCCAGCTCTATCGCGAGTTGCATGACCTTGAGCTGGTGACTCATTCTCGCTGAGCCTCAGTTTACTCTTCTCTCAGATGGTGATGGTAGCCACACCATAAGAACTATTGTCAGAATTAAATGAGAGGTCTACCAATTGCCAGTTCTGAGAATGGCACATAAAAACATGAGCTCCCACACTACTGGCCACATAACCTAGACAAATCACTTAAACCAGTAAGCCTGTTAAATGAAAAGGGAAAGAATATACTACAAAGATCACACGGTGGTGGTGAGAATGAAATGAATGGTGTCAAAGCTCTTTGTAAACTGTAAAGCTCTAGAAAAATAAATGTGGTACGTACCCAACAGAGCTTACCACAACACCTCACACAAAATAGATTTCAGGAAATGATTTATAATGCTACATAAAAGACCCTTGTTAATGTTGACATGTCCCAAATCATCTCCCGAGAGCACTAACTCATGGGCAATCTCTAGCCCCAGGGAACAAGACGCTGAGTCAATTCAAAAGAACTCGTTAAGAAACACCTTATTTCATTCTACCACAGCTACCTGAGGATTCTTCTGAGGGTTCTTCTCACCCTAAAGCAGTATTGAAGTCTTCCTCCCGACAGAATCAACTAGTAAGCCACATGGTGAGCAATCTGAACCTCACTTATGACCGGCTTTGATGTGCTTTTGTATATTTACTGAAATGCTTTTGTCTTATAGTCAGGAAATTCAGAACACTTTAACAGAGCACCATAGTCCTGTAGAGTAGATCAAATGATACTCATAAACTTCAACAACCCCGCTGACTTCTCCCAGGCCGCGTCAGCCCGCATCCCTGCAGACACAGGACTTCTGAGCCTGCAGTGAATGGTCAACCAAAAACAAAACAGGCTCATCTCCAAGAACTGCTAGTTCGTACCTTCTCTAGTTGGGCCGGAATTAAGTATTTCCTTTTATTAAAAGGCCTCCTCTTCCATCTCCTGCTGGGTCAGAGTAAACAAATACCCATTTTATAGCAACAGAGTTAATAAAACAGAGCGCTCACTCTCTCAGCAACACGAGCCAACACGTGAGGGCATCCTCCCCTGGAAGTGGGGCACACAGGTCATGCGTCCCCAGACTGTGAGCAGCAGCAGCAGCAGTTTTCTTCCAGGGACCTGAGCACTTCAGTTCCCGTCTAAGATGCTCAAACAATCCTACATCTTTAAAAAAAAAAAAACCCAAGTCCATGCTCTTCCATGGGATAAACTTCTCGTGTCATTCAAGCGTTAGGTAAACAGCTGCCCAGATTAGGTTTCCAGTAACAGTGCAGCAAGCTCTTCTAATTCTAACTGAACCCAAGGAGGAATCACAAAGCATCCTCAAATGCTGGGTTTCAGAAAGCCAACACAGCTTATTCATAAACATCTCTGCAAATCAAAGAGTTAATAAATGAAATCCAAAGACAGCCCTCCAACCTAACTTTAGTGTTTAGTTTGACTCCTCTTCCCAGCAAATAAACCTTTTTCAAGACTTGGCAAGCAGGTCACAAAGAAAAGTAGAAATTTCCGGTGTTCCCCAACCTAGGACTTAGAACCGCTTTCTTGAAAGAGTGGGTAAACAACTAGTTTACAACAATGCTCATAAGCTAAAACGGAGCAGCAGAAAGCAAAACCTCAAAAGCAAAGATAATCTGCAAATTAAATAACCAAGAACTATTTCTATTTGAGGTCAAACATGAGAGAATGATCTCTTAACAGTCCCACCAATAACACTCCAAGCCCTCTCAGATAAATGGTGGCACGGACTGGTCACAAGCGCAGAAACTTAATAGCTTTTACATTAGAGAAAATCATCCCTTTCAGATAATCTTTCCGCCACTACTCACTAAAGATTCAGTTATTTAGTGACAGACTTCTCCTACCCTATAAAAACTAAAGGATAACTTACAGCCTATTTTCTCTTCAACGTATTAGGAATAAATTATTTCACTTGAATCTTTTAAAATCTCTTCAGCCAAAAGAGGACAATGCAAAAAACTCCTACTCTAGTAGAAGATACCTAAGCTAGGGTTTCAAAAAATCTGTAAGTTTCTAAGAATAGGAATGTCCCTTTTTTTTCACATTTATTTATTTATTTTGAGAGAGAGAGACAAGAGCATGAGCAGCGGAAGGGGAGAGAGAGGGAGAGAGAGAATTCCAGGCAGGCTCCAGACTATCAGTGCAGAGCCCGACCGGGGGCTCAAACCCACGAACCGTGAGACCATGACCTGAGCCGAAGTCGGACGCTTAACCCACTGAGCCACCCAGGCGCCCCTATATGTAGCAGCTTTAATATGAAACCCAAGCAAGACCTTTCTGAATCTGTCCTCAGCCATCACTAAAAACACAGGGGCATTTCTCTGGAATCTGGAAAAGGAGCTCCTGATCTGAGGTAAATACACTCTGCCAGCCTCAGTTACCCTCTATTGTTTCAGCTGCCTCCATATTTCCTTGCTTTGCTGAATTGGAGCCAACATACCACATTCCCAAGAGAGGTAAGAGAATATACATTATTACGAAACTCCTCTAGAGAGAAAAACTTCCACCATACTGATTCAAGAGACTAAAGGAAAGGCAGCTGCTACTATAATCAAAGATCTAACTTATTTATTCAAAGAATGCTAAGCACCTATTCTGTGCAAGGCTCTGTACATTCAGCCATGAACACAACAGGTACGGTTCCCATCCTCACAGAACAGGATTTGTGGAGATAAACAAGTAAACAAATGATACACAATTATAATTATAAAAAGACTACGAATAGGTAACCTTAAAGTTCCAATGTGCCCAGGACACACTGATCTATACCTGTCCCAGGGTGAATCCAAAGCACTCTGCTTTACTCTCAAAAATGTCCCAAGCTGGACTATAAGTGCTATGTCACCTTAATGCTGGCAGATAAGGTACTGTAAGAGAGCACAACAGGGGCAAATCACTTTAGCCTGGGTGATCAGCAAAGATTTCTTGGAAGAGGTGCATTTAACTAAGTCCTGAAGGATGAGGCTCCAGACATTCTGGAAGAAAGAGCATTCCATATACAAGGACGGCAAATGCTACAAGGCATGGGGTGGTATTATTATTACAATACGTGAACTTTGGCTGAGCAAAGTGAAGAGTCAGAAGAGTGATTTGAGGGTTCCCAGATATCAATATGTACATCCAAGATTAAACTGTCCTAAGCCTCTAATTTTATCAGGCCTCAAAATTCAAACATAAAGACAAAAATGAAGCTCGAAGGCAGTTTTCAATTTTTTGTATGTCATGAATTGAGAATCTCCAAAATACTCCGTATGTTCACCCAAAACCACAGACACGCAGATACACAATTTCAGGAGGTTCACAGGCAACGCCCCCCTCCCAACCCGGCCAACACCAGAGGTTTGCACATGGACTCCAGGTTTAAAAAAAAAAAAAGCCCTCTTTTACAAAGAACAAAAACAAGCTTGCAACTTTATTTTTCTATTGGGGCACTGAAAGGTTTCTTAAATCTTTTGAAGGCCTCCAGGAATAAAGAGAGAACTTAAATTGATGTTCCTTCAAAAAGATTATCAGAACAAACCGTAAGTCAGTGAAGAAATGAAGAACAATGGAAAATGTATGTACCACCAAGAGTCAATGAGTCTCAATTTTTCCCACCATCTTAAAGGGCCAGAAGTGCCCTCAAGTCCTTACCTTACTAACATTGAGTGAAGCTAGAGGAGGAGGGGTTTCTGTTCGGTCATTAATTATTTCCACTTCTGAAACATACTGTAAGTTTATGAGCAAGATGTCTGCATGGTTGGGCTTTCCACTGGAAGAGGGACATTCTGGGGAGAAAATAAAGTTAAGGAAAACAGGGGTGTGGAGAACACAACTCACACAAGGCTGGTGTAAAAGGTGTGCCCCGAGCAAGAGAGAGGGGAGCCTCACAAGAACCACAGCTCTCCCCAGGAAATCTCTGCCTGTCACCATCTACCCGCTCAGAACCCCAGAACCAAAAGCTCTCAAGCTTTTCAAAGTGAAATATTATCCAAGATTGGAAACCTCAAAAAGGGCTTGTCACCTCTCTACTGGTTGTACGGAGGCATAATACTGTGTTAATGGCATGCATATATATACTTTTTCTTGAACCTAAGGAACCACACGGGAGAGGCGGTACTTTCTGTTCCCAGTAAAACAGTCCTTATATCTACATACTGCTCTTTCCACTTTTTAAAATTTCGGATTTCCCATTCTACAGAAGAGAAAACTACAGCACTGGAAATGAGACTCACTCAAGGTGACCCTGCCAGTTAACCCACTTATTTATGTATCCCTTCATTCATTTACTCACCCATCCTCCAACTATTTATCAAGAGCATATCATATGCCAATTAAAAGTAATTTCTCATTCCAAAATCCTTCCACTATTGTAAAAGGTCTTATTGGGTCTAGGTCTGAGTTTTTATATCCCCCCCCCAAAACAACAAAAACAAAACACTGTTCTTGTTATATAGTTCAGAGGACATCTTCCTAAGCTAGGAATCTACAACTAGTGGTTAAATAAATTAAAATACTTGCCACTCAAATGCCGCACTCAGTAGGAAACTTCCTTTTGAAAGATGCCATAAAGGATTACTCCTCCAAAAAAAAAAAAAAAAAAATCCAAATAAACCCACCTGTGGCTCAAAAAGAAGGGGAAAGGGTGGCACATTTATTACAACCAGGAAGTATTTTGTTTCCAAGGCTGAATTTCCTGGAGTATTCAGAAATCATTTCCACCTCCAAAGAAGCAAGCCTTCTTTTCCATTCTGTTTAACACCGCCACTTCCAAAAGGGGAGGCAACTACTATGGAAAAGTCAGGACTCCATGTGCTGGGCTGAGCAAGAGACGATTAACTTACTCTTTCTAACCTACACAACCCCACCTAAGCCCCTAAAAAAACGTGGTCTCCTCTTCTGGACCCGGTTTCCAGGGCAAACATCCTCAAAACAGCAATTTTCAAATGACTGAGAAACCTAATTCAGTACTCCCCGCCCCCAACAGCACCACGCATATACACGCACCAGCGAAACAAGCCCCTATCCCCATTTCAGACACAAACTGTCCTCCAGTTACTCTCCCCCAAAGCAGGCAAGGCCCGTTTGGTCACCACCCCACCGCCCCTCCTTGGACTAAACCCCAGCAGGAGACACCCTCTCCTAAACTCCGCAGCCTTGCCCCACTAGCAGCTCCTTACTCTACACACCCCCTCCCCACATGATTCTACCCGCCCCCCTTCCATCCGGGCTCCAATCCACCAGCCCCCCTCCCACGACCACCCTCTCTCCGGATGACTCTGTTCCCTCTCATTGCCTTTCCCTCGAAAAAGCATCCGCGTGTCAAGCCCCCCTCCACCCACTGACCCTCGCTCGGGGCCCAGCTCCCACAAGGGGTGGGAGACAGGGTCCCCAAGGCGGACCGAGGGACACGCGAAGAGGGGGAGGGGAGCTCAGGGCCGTGCGCATGCGCCCCGGGCGCCGCGGTAGCCGGTCGCCCCTAGGCCCGGAGAGGGCCCCAGACGCCGCCGTCGTCCCCCACCCCCCCACCACCGCACAGACACGCCGGCCCGGCCTCGGGCTCCGCGCAGCGAAGGATACTTAAAGCCAGCATTTTGGACTGGTAGTCGAAGGCTACCACCTCGCCCTGCAGCCGCTGCTCCTGGCACGTCCGGCACGACACCTGGCTCCCAACGCTGAAGTACTCGCCCGGAGGAGCCGCCATCTTGGGAGAGCAGCCGCGGCCGGCGGCGGCGGCGGCAGCAGCGGGCGAAAGCCGGGCCCCCAGTGAGCGCCGCGACGCGACGCACGAGGCGTGCTGACGTCACACGCCAGGGCGTGGCCTGGCGCTGGGTGGGGCGGGAGCCTAGGTGGTAAAAGGAAAGAAGAGGAAATAAAGGAGAACCCGGGTGTGCGAGTACGCCCGCTTGATAAAGTGCTTGCAGAGTTCATTTTAGAAGTTGAAGATAAATAACCTACGTTGAGTGAAAAGGGGAAGGAGGACGGAGCTGCAGTCTCCACTATGTGCACACGTTGACACAAGAGTTTAATGACTGAACTCTGTATTTTACGTATGAGGAATCCGAGGCCCAGGGGACTTTCGCAAATTTGCCCACAATGATTATACCCAATTACAAAGTGGTAGTGGAAAGAACACTGGCTATAGGATTAGCTAAACTGAGATCGGAATCCCAGGTCTGCCACTTACTAAGTTCTATGACCTTGAGCAAATGACTAAACCTGATCCTGTATCTTTATTTTTTCTGTATTATCACTTACTGATGATCCAACGATCTTTTGAGGTAAGAATCAACGTCTTCCTTTTACAGACGAGGAAACTGAAGTCTTAGACTAGACTTGGCCAGGGTCGCACAACCAGAAAGAATTCGGTCTTCCTGTTTCTAAAGACGGTGCTATTTGATGCTCTACTATATTAGATAATACTACCTACTAGAGTAGTTAGTAAGTGAGATAATGTGTACAAACGAATGACATGTAGTAGGGCTTTAATAAATGATAGTGCCTCCGTGATCACCCATCACCCTTGGAACTCAAGATGCTTCCCCATCTCCCATCTTTGCCGTCTCTAGAAAGCCAGGCAAAGGGCAGGAATGAGGAGCAGGAATGACAAAGATGGCCTGGGGGGCAGGAGTTTTGCCCCTCCTCCACTAGTGTCCATCTGATATATGAAAGTTTTAACATGTAAGATGCATTTTCTAGCCCTGTCATCACCAGTTTCCATCACTAACCCACCTACCTGCCCAACCCTCACCCCAACCCCCACCATAGAAATTCTGGAGCCTTATGTATGAGTAACAGTAGGTTGAATTTTCTCTAGACTGAGGCAGAGAACCAGCCCTGGCACTACTTAACCTGAACACAGTTCAAAAGTGTCTCCTTGTTCTGCAAGAAACATCAGCTTTCTAATGTTGGGCATATATTAGTACAATCATTTAATAGGAATAAATATACTGATGCCTCTTAGTTGTGGTTTTTCAGACAACTTTCAAGTCTGACCCCCACAACAAGTCACATGTAACTGCCACTCCACTTTTATATGGCATTGTGATTATAGGTTTTCATATATATGACTGCCAGGTACTGTTAGGAAAAGCTTCCTGAAGGAAGTGAAAAAATCTGAGACCTGAAGGACAAGCAAGATCTCTAAAAGGAGAGGGAAGTTTGTGGATTTCAAGGAACATAAAGTAGCTCAGAAATATGAAATGGAGTTGTGGGGGTAGGCTGGTAAAGGTTGTCTGGCTAGAACCAGAGCAAACTTTCAAAGACCTAGAAAATGCAAGCTTTCTCCTTGGGGCAAATGAAAAACATTTAGCAAGGGAGTGAAATGACATTCATATCCAACCTGCGTTCCCCACACCTTTTTAATTAGTGAAATCTCTCTCCCGAAGAACCACATTTACATCCTCATTTTCACTCACCCATCTGCAAACTCTCCAAGAACGAAGTTGCTTGGGGGAGCCACTCAACAGGCTCCTCCCACACCAACTCTGCCTCTGGGCAGGACTTCGGGTAGAATAACTGAGGATTCTATTTTGTGTGTGTTCCTAGAGAGGATTATTCCAGATTTCGCCAGGGGTGTGGGCAAACCTCCCACATCAACCCAGATACTACCTCTTGGTTTACCTGGCCGGCGGGGTTTTGGAAGGCAAAGAGGGAGGTAAGGAAAGCTTAGAAGTGGAAGTGTGACTAAGACTGCTATATGTAAGAAGAATTCGCAAGCGTTTAGGTAAGACGCTTCGAAATCAAGAGGCTTATCTGTCAGTTTCCAAATCAATAGCGGATGAATTCAGGTGGGAGATTCTTGGGCTGGGGTAGAAAGGCAAGGGCTGATCAGCGGTGTCTTAAAATTTAGAGTCCCGCTTCCGCACCGACCGGAGATGCCTGGCTACTCCGAGGAGGGAGTGTCCCTAGCCCTCTTTCCACTACATCTCAGAATATCTTTGGAGGGCAGCGGTACGAGAGAAAAGAGATCTGGTCTGGAAGGAATCCTGACCTTGGAGGTTAAACATCCAACCTCGCAGCAGCAAAGCAAGAACCCTGGGCACGTCGCCCACCCACAGGTTAGTCCTTCCCTTGACCCGGAACAGCAGCGGGAGCCGACTCTGCGCCCAATGCCCACGTGCCGGCAACAGCAGCCACGTGGGGCTCTGCGGAAACGCCTTCGCAAAGATTTGTCCCCTGCGCTGCCCAGTAGAAAGGAAGACCTGGGAGACGCACTGGAGGAAACGGTACCGGCTAGAGGCCCGGCTCGCGCGATTCTGGGACTCCCGGACGGGGGATGGGGCGGGGGTAAGGGGGCGGGGCTTGTGCCGATAGCTGGCAGGGGGCGGGGCCTAGGGCTCTGGGAGGTGGGCTTTGGCCAGCAGTGGGGAGCTGCTTCCTCGTCTCGGAGGCGTCTCCGAGATTCCTCGGCCTCCACCTTAGAGCAAACCTCCGCCCCGCCCGGCCCTGGATCGCCATGGAGTCCACGCTGGGCGCGGGCATCGCGATGGCCGAGGCGCTGCAGAACCAGCTGCCTTGGATGGAAAACGTGTGGCTCTGGGTCACCTTTCTGGGCGATCCCAAGAGCCTCTTTCTGTTCTACTTCCCCGCGGCCTACTACGCCTCCCGCCGCGTGGGCATCGCAGTGCTCTGGATCAGCCTCATCACCGAGTGGCTCAACCTCGTCTTCAAGTGGTGAGACAGCGAAGCCCTCGGCGTCCTGGTCCCCCACCCCCAAGGGCCCTGAGTCCTGGGCAAGCCCTGATCTCCTTCAGCAGGTCCTCAAAGGCTCCGACCTCCCCCACCATCCTTCCCCACTGAACCCACGGCCTTAAGATCTCTTCACCCCTATCCCTGGGCCCCTGAATTTTTCCTTTAGACTCGGACCTCAGAGTCCCCATCGTTCTCATTAGACCAGTGTGTCTCAAAGAGGCCCGATGGGAGAAATCACCTAAAATGCAAATACCTCATCCCACCTCACACATACGAACTTAGAAATTTCAGGGAAGGGGTTGGGAATCTGTATTTTAAGAAGCATCTGTGGTGACTTAATAGCAAAAAAGTCCTGCTTCTCAGCTCATTCTTTTCAGTCATCTATTCATTCATTTGTTTGACATAGTTGTTAAGAAGCATGCTTTGTGCCAGGCTTCACACTGACTGCTAAGGACTGAGAAGGTTTGACATACAAGGTGTGCTTCCCAGACCATGACCGGCAGCACTGGAAGCACTCGAAAACTTGCTAGAAATGCAAGATCTCAGGCCCCAGGCCAGAGCTTCTGAATCAGAATCTGCATTTTAACAAGGACCTCAGGTGATTCAGAGAGCATAGTAAGGCTCGAAAAGCACTGCCTTCCAGGGAACGCTTTTTTCTGCTTCCTTTTCTCCTTCTTTCACTAGTAGGCTCTTCACCTAGACTTAGATGCCACCAACCCCAGGCAAGTGGGTGGGGCCTCGGTCCTTATCTCTGTGCCACCTGGTCTCTCTTGAGTGCAGAGGGGAGCTGTGCCTCACCTCACTTCAACCTCTGCTGCCTGCGGGAGGGAAGGGAGTTCATCGGAGACACTTGAATGGGCTGGAATGACTTGCTGAAAAACCAAATAGGAATTAGCTTCCCTCCCACTCTTCTCTGCAAGGGCTTCATTCCTCCTGAAAACGGAAAAGCGGCTGTCTACTCATTTCCTTCTTGCCTAATTGCCCTTTGCTTTGTGCTCTCTCCCCACTCAGAGTCTGTATAAGCCTCCCCCTCTACTGTTCCCGACCAGACAGACCACCCCCTTGTGTGGACACTCTCAATACCTGCCCCCCAAAAGTGACAAAGGCCCTATTCATTTCCTAAGCGTGTTTTGAGCACCTGGTGTGTGAACCTAATGGTGAGGAGAGGCAAGTCCCTTTGTCCCCTGTGCTTCTCCTCCCAGCAGTATCTTTCTGCTCTCCTACCTCTTTCCTCTTTCTGGCCACAGCAGCTGAGCCTTTTCAGGATGCGGTTTCCCAGGGTCCAGCGAAGCACCTGGTAGGCTAGGGGGACTTTGAACTTTTTGTCTTCCTTATTCTTTGCTCAGCCTCCTCTGTCCATTTCCCACTCCCGTTCTCAAACACGAGAGACTCACCCAAGGAGTTCACGTGTAGGTAATCCAGGCTGGAATTTGGGAACTGGAGAGAGGAAGAAGCGGAAGGATCAGTGGGGAGTCTGGGAGCAAAAGAGTCCAGTCCTGGGCTCTCTAGGAATGAGAAGAGCAGAGCTGGCCCTGTAGTGGGAGGGGCAAGAGTGGGACTAGTGAGCATTTCAGAGCGTGCGTGCGCACCCACGATCTCGTGCCTCCTTATCACTTCTTTAAACATAGCATGCGTTCTCACGTTCCAAGGTAAAAACTCATGGCAAGGTAATGCACAGAACTGGGCTCCCTTCCCGACTCCACCCTGCAAGCCCTCCAGAGTACTCCCGGGGCCCCACCTGCTCCCCTGGCTGCGTGTGCATACAATGCCATCTTCTTTCTGTTTTCTTCTAGGCTTCTGTTTGGAGACAGGCCCTTTTGGTGGGTCCATGAGTCTGGCTACTACAGCCAGGCCCCAGCCCAGGTCCACCAGTTCCCTGCTTCTTGTGAAACTGGTCCAGGTGGGAAGCCCCAAACCTCCCTGTCCCAGTGTGTTAGGGTTCGGCGAGTGTTTCAGACAGAGTACTGCTCAGCCGGGGCAGCCTAACCGGAGGCCCAGCCTCTCTGTAACTGACCCAGAGAACAAAGACACCCCAGGAAGACTGAGTTGAATTCCGGGAGGAGGGCACCCATGCTAGAGTGCCAGCGGCCCACCTTGTTTCGAGCAGATCCTAGAGACATGGGTGGAAGCAGGAGCCTGAGAGCAGTGGCCTCAGGCAGGGGTGAAGAAAGCTTCAGGCCAGAGAGAGCCGTGGACCAGCGCAGGGGGTGGGCAGTTGGGTTCAGCTACTGCCAGGGGCTCCTGGGTTCCACCCTCATCCTCTCCCCTTAATCTGGACCTTCCGGCAGGCAGCCCTTCTGGACACTGCATGATCACTGGAGCAGCCCTCTGGCCCATAATGACTGCCATCTCTTCCCATGTGGCCACTCGGGCCCACAGGTACACTCTGGCGTTGCCTACCAATGGGGGCAGGGGCGATGGTGCCCCGGACCCAAAACACCCAGCAGGCAGGGCCGCCTGGGAGCTGGAGTTCTGGGGACCCTGGGGCCTTTGGTCAAACCATGAAGTGCTTGGGTGCTGAGGGAGGCCAAGCTGTGTACGGACACCCCCTGAACCATTTGCTTTTCTTCCTCACAGCCGCTGGGTGAGGGTGATACCTAGCCTGGCCTACTGCACCTTCCTACTGGCGGTCGGCCTGTCCCGGGTCTTCCTCTTAGCACATTTCCCCCACCAAGTGCTGGCTGGCCTAATAACTGGTGAGCAACTGGGGCAACAGGGTGGGCCTACGGGGTGCCACTGGTACAGCTGACCGCAAGCCCTTTTTATACCTCAGTCTGTTTCGTCCAGCTGCCCTATAGCTCGGGGAGCTTACATCCCCAAACTCCTTGAGGCTGCTGTCGCCCTACTTCCCTAGGTGCTATGCTGGGTTGGCTGATGGCCCCCCGGGTACCCATGGAGCGGGAGCTAAGCTTCTACGGACTGACCTCACTGGCCCTCTTGCTGGGTGCCAGCCTCATCTACTGGACCCTCTTTACCCTGGGCCTGGATCTTTCTTGGTAAGTCCTGCTTTTTTTTTTTTTTTTTTTTTTATGTTTATTTCTAGGAGAGAGAGAGAGAGAGAGACAGCGTGAGCAGGGGAGGGTCAGAGAGAGAGGTAGTCGCAGACTCTGAAACAGGCTCCAGGCTCTGAGCTGGCACAGAGTCAGCACAGAGCCCGATGCGGGGCTCGAACCCACGAACCGCGAGATCATGACCTAAGCAAAAGTCGGACACTTAACCGACTAAGCCACCCAGGCGCCCCAATCCTGCTTTGAAGCTTGGGCAGGCCAGGGCCCGTTTTGCCTCACCCGTACCTAGCCTGGTTGGGTCCCTGGCTTGTGATAGCCAAAAAGGAACACGCGACCTGTTCACAAGCACAGATTCTCCTGGGGTCACAGCGCAACATGGGGGTAGACGCCAAAGGGACCAAGAGCCATCAGCCCACTAGGTTCTGGGGGGGAATGTGTCTCCTGCAAAGACCCCCTCCTCCCCACAGGTCCATCAGTCTGGCCTCCAAGTGGTGTGAGCGGCCTGAGTGGGTACACTTGGATAGCCGGCCCTTTGCCTCCCTGAGCCGTGACTCAGGGGCCGCCCTGGGTCTGGGCATCGCCCTGCACTCTCCCTGCTATGCCCAGGTACGGCGAGCATACCTGGGGCACGGCCAGAAGGTAGTCTGTCTTGTGCTGGCTTTGGGGCTGCTGGGCCCCCTGGACTGGCTGGGCTACCCGCCTCAGATCAGCCTTTTCTACATCTTCAATTTCCTCAAGTACACCCTCTGGCCATGCCTCGTCCTGGCCCTTGTGCCCTGGGTGGTGCACACCTTCAGTGCCCAGGAACTACCACCTGTCCGCTCCTCCTGACTTCAAGTGCCTCCTGTTGCCATTTGCCGCCCCTCCCCCCAACTCCAAAGCCAACACTCCGTGACCTCCCCACTCCAGGAGGTGGTCCCATCACCTTCCGGCTCCCAACAGGCCCCAGCCATCCTCGCATCCTTGGTCTCCCACTTCTCCACCATCTGGTCTTTGCCCCCCGAAATGTTGGTCCTCTTGACTTCCCCTCTGAGCCCCCGGAGAGCTAAGGCAACATCAAGACCACTGGGCTCCTGGGACACTGTGAGGGGCTCAGAGGCCCCAATAAAAGCCCTTGAATACTTCTGGATTCCTTTCTTGCCTATGCTCACATTTCCATTGAACTTGCCGGTGTGTGTGTGCAAGAGAGACCCTTGCCAGGCCACCTGTTCTGCACTCCCCCCGACCCTTGTTCCCACAGAGACCCTCAGCCTGGGCGCAGCATCACCACCCAGGCCACAGAGAGGTCAAGTGCGATGCTATGGCTACATTCAGTGAAACCTTGTCTTTAACCTACAGGACAGAGACTCCCTCCCAGCCTCGCCTCCTGTTTCCTTAGTTGGCTAGTCCAGGGGCTGGAGAAAAGAAGAGCAGTTTTTTTTGGCCGGGGTGGGGAACGAAAACCTCTAGTCCATTTGGAAGCCCAGAGAAGAGAGACATCAGCCCCAGAAGGCACTGCCAGAAACAAGTTTATTTCCATAAGGACACACAGTGTAACAGATTACAAAATACTTAACTGAAATCCATATCCAGGGACACAAAGCAAGGAGCGGGTTTACATGAGAACCAGACTGGCCATGGGGAGAGGGAGAGTTAAGGGGCCTGGAGCTGGGGCCCAGCATGGGGAGGCCCGGCACACTGGGCCCAGCCCCATCCGCACCCCCCCTGGGAGGAGCTAGAACACGCGAACAACACGCAAGACACGAGCATGCAATGAACCAGTGGTGGTGGGACTCCTGCCCCTCCCCCAGCTCCCCCAACCCTACTCAGGCCCCCATTAGGATAACATGTAAACAGACTGGGGGGGCGCCCTCAGGATGGGGTGGAAAAGAAGCATATGTGGTGTCGAGAACGGAGGACGACTCAGCCCCCTAGGAGCTGCTTCCCATCTTTGGTTTCCTACAGGCTAGACAGCATTCCCTAGAAGTCTTGTGGGCTCCCAGCCCCTCCCGGTCTTAGCTCCCTTGGGCAGGTGGCCAGCAGAGGAAGCCCAGGAGGAAGGGAAGCTACAGTTGAAGGCAGACTCTTGGGTTCCTGGGTTCTGGCCCTGCCCCCTTCCAGAGGACCCCCCCCCCAACTCTCACCATCCCCCAGGCTTCAAAGTAAAAGGCCCCAGGAGGGAGGTGGGCCACTGACCACTGGTTAGCTGGGGAAATCTGGTCCTGAACAGCAGCGGGCTCTCAACAGCCTGGAGCACCCCTCCCCCTGTAGGGACCCCCTCCCCCAGGCTGTGCCAGCAGAGGGGCAGGGGAGCCAACAGAGTAGGGAGGAGAGCAGGCCTGGCTCTAAGGCTCCTCCTGGTCCCTCGGAACCCAGGAGTCCAGCCCCATCCCTCCCCACACATGCTGACCCTCTCCAGCCCCTGGGAAGGGGAAACAGACCCTGAGGAACACAAGGCGAGACACCCCTGCCCACGGACCGCAGGATCGCACCCCAGGGCATAGGTCTTCCCTTGCCGCTGAGGCCAGGAGAAAGGAGGAGGAGAAGGGGTCTACGCAGAGATAGCAAGGACAACAAAGGGGGAAAAGGGTGGGGAATCGCAGGGTGGGAACCCACCTCCCCTCCACTCTGTATCTTAGACAGTAGAGCAACCTTCCGGATCTCCTGCTGCGGTTGGAGGGAAGGAGGGTGAAATTAAGGCATCTCCCCCAAGTCCGCTGAAGCCAAGGCACCAAACTTACTGCTCCCTCCTCACTTAGACCCCCAAACTGGAAAGTACCATCTGGGCCCCATCCCCACTTTAAGCCGGCCCAGGCTCCAAGGGGAAAAGGACAATGCAGGAAGGTGGGTGTGGGGCACGACATGGAGGTGAGGCTGGAAAGGGCACCCCCATACCTTCCAGGGGGAGCAAAGTTCTAGAGCGGAGATGTGGGGAGTTGGTGGCGAGGCCTGAGGGCTTCGAGGAGCGGGGGGGGGCGAGGCTGAGAGACCCACACGGCACACGCTGTTGAATGTGTGACTTTTTGTTTTTAATAGAAAAAATAAACAAAATCACAATGATGAAGCCCAGAGGGCCGGGGGCCGGGGCGTCACAGGGCAGGCTCCTGCTCCATGGGCTCCTCTGCCGGCCTGTGGGGACAAGCACAGGGAGGGGCGTTGAGGCGGCGCCACCAGCTTGGGGGAGGGCAGTGGTCAGGAGGAGCCTTACCTGGGGCTGTGCTCCCGGGCTGCAGCAGCCTGGGCCTGCTCGGCCCCCACCGACAGCAAGGCCATGGCGCTCACAGTCTCAGCCTCCTCCGTCTCACCTGCCTGGGCCTCCCGCAGGGAGCGGCCTAGACCAGCAGCGAACCTCTGTACGCAGCTCCAGTGTTTGCCTGGGGACGAGGGGCAGACGGCCATCAGGGAGGACAAAAAGCACACGCCATCCCCAGCCCCCGGCAGGCCCACGAGCGTCTGCCCCCTTGACAAGCCGAGGTCTGAGCCTCCCGGCCTCATCCCCACGCACTCTGGATCTCGATGACTTTCTCTAGCGTGGCCACTGCGTTGATGTTGGGCTTTTGTTGCAAGACTGCCTCGTCCAAGGGCTGCAGCTGGTGGGGGAAGGAAGAGAAGGCTTATGGTGGGGCGTGGGTGGCAGCGCCTTGGTCCTCTAAGCACCCTGCTCAGCACCCACCACCTCCCAGGACAGGGGTAAACAGCTTTCTGGAAGAACCACGAGTCAGAAAGCCCTTTCTAGCCGCTAGGTGTCTTTGGAGACCAGGAAAACCTTCCCAAGGGCTCTCAGGGCTGCTTGATTGGGAGAGGGGCCCTCCGATACTGGCCTCTCCCTGGTCCCTCACCCCCCCACCCCCGCCCGGCTCACTAGTCTACCTCCCCCAGGCCCTCCCTGCACCCCTTACCTCCACGCTGAGTAGAGCTGAGACACAGGCCTCAGAGGCATCACAGATGGCGGTCAAGTCATGGCCTCCCTCCAGGGCCAGCACCACGCGGCCCCCTGCCAGCGTCATCAGCTGCCTGGTTAAGTGGCCAAAACCTTTAGGGATGGGTGAAGGGAGGAAAACAAAATGGTTTAAAAAAAAAAAAAAGAAAACTCGAGAGAAGTTAAGAAGAGAGAAAAAAGAAACATAAGAGGTGGAACAAACAGCCCGAAATAAAACAGTAGACTTAAGCCCAAATATCTATCCAAGATAGAATTCAATGTCAATGGACTAAATGCTCCGTTAAAGGCAAAACAGAATATGGGAGCCTGACTGGCTCAGTCAGCAGAGCATGCGGCTCTTGATCTCAGGGTCATGAGTTCGAGCCCCTCATTTGGTGTAGAGATTACCTAAATAAATAAACTTTTAAAAAATCGAAATAAATATGGACAAAACAGAACGGATGGGCTAAAAAAAAAAAAATTCCAATTATGTCAGAAGGAGCACCACTGAAACACAGGAGCCACCAGGCTCCATCCCTATGACTCTGGGAGGAGATCTACTGTCTGTTACCCCTCACCCACGTGCTCTCCCCCGCCCCGCCCCAAGGCCAAGGTTGGCAGAGGGAGAGCGGGAAGCCCCTGCCAACATGATTCCAAGTTTTGGACCTGCCCCCCAGCCTTCCTCCTCCCAACCTCCGCAATGCCAGTCTCTTCCTACTCCACGACCCCACTCCACCCCATCCTCACTGCTCCACGCCCTCCCGCAACCCCCCAGCAGCTCACATCTGGCGGTGACAGAGTAGCCACCCAGTGGAGACAGGTGTCCCTCAACAGCATCAAACCCGGCAGAGACCAGGACCACGTCAGGTGAGAACTCGTGGGCAATGGGCATCACCACTGTCCTGCAAAGGGAGGGCCCAAGCTGACCCCGGCAGGCGGCTAGGCCAGGCCTCCCCTCACTCTGCGTTCCCCCCACTCCAGGGACAAGCCCCCTTACCCACACCAGCCTGAATGCCTTCGGCCCCTCCCATGGCAGGGCCCAGGGGGCTCCCACCCTGCCCTTGGCCCTTCTCAGTCCCCACCTGAAGGCCGTTAGGTACTCCACGTCTCCGATGGGGGGATCCACACCTCCTGTCCATGCCACGTTCACATTGTACCCCACGCCTGGCCCTCCGCCAACCTGGCAGCGTGGTGGGGGAGGGGTTATTCTCCCTGCCTGGGGATGCCAGACATAGGCCCCGCCCTCAGCCCTGATTCCGGCCCTTACTCCACTCATTGCTGCCCTTCCTGGAAGGTCAGCTGGCCTGCATGGTCCTCCCCCTAGGAGCCCACACTCCCTGGGTATCAGCGCCACCACAGGCCTCCAGGGCTCCCTGCTAGGTCCCATTCTGCTACCTCCCCAAGGGGCCCCGCATTTGACAGAGCCCAGGAATTATACCTCTTCAGGAGCCCCAGAGCCTGGAAAGAAGTTCCCATTGTCATAGCGATGCAGGGAGATGTAAAGCACAGAGGGGTCATTGTAAAACGCTTGCTGGGTGCCATTGCCGTGGTGAATGTCCTAGTCAGGAGACGTGGAAGCATCAGAAAAAAAGCCCAGTCTCTGGCCCCGAGGTCAAAATTCCACTTGCCCCCCACCTTCACCCTATGGTGCACTCTGGGGGTACCGGGCAGCGTGTTCTGCTCACAAGAGCATCGCCCCACACCTCTCTACCCAGGGTCTGTGGGCCGGGCCACGGCACGGCGCAAAAGAGATACGAAGCCATAGGACGGATATGATGGCTCTCCCCGCACCATTCTCCCCAACAGCGTGGAGAGACACATTCAGGCTAGTGAGGAACTGAAAGCAGGTACGCTCTGAAGACCCCAACATTCACATGAACTTTTAGGCCAAAGTTGGGCTTCCAAGAGTCCTCATCACTGATGAGCACCGCTCTGGGCGACTTCCCAGTTACAGGGAGTGGTGGCTGCCTTGAGAGGCAGGGTTTGAGAAGTGGTGCCCAGCAGCAAGAGCAGAAGTGTTGGGGCCAAAAGGTCTCATCCGAAGCGCAATGCCGATCCTCCAAATTATGTGACTTTGGCTGGCTCTTTCACCCAACAGCTCAGTTCCTCCATTTATAGAAATGCACATCCTAACTCCTACTACTCGAGACGGCCATGAGCCGTACCGTGTGTCCTGGCACGCAGGGGTGCCTCTGGCAATGGTGGTTAACAATCTATACTGTTCAAGGTAGGAAATCTCGGTTGCTTGAGCCTACAAGGTCCAGGCCAAGGTGGACTGGGGCTAAGACTACTTTTGAGTCTCTCTTAGCAAGGATGCAGGCCCATGGAAATGGGAGGGCTGGGCTGTTGCTCCAGCAGGAAAACATAAGGTAAGTCCTCAGGCCCAGCAGCAGCATGGGCACCCAAGAAAGAGGTGGCAGTGCCAGGGCGGGGTGTTCCTAAAGGCTAACCCTGGTCCCACCAGCCCACTGCCTACCCAGTCCACGATGAGAACCTTGCCCACGTTCAGCTTCTGCTGCAGGAGTTTGGCTGTGATGGCTACAGAGTTGAAGAAGCAGAATCCCCTGGTGGGTGGGGGGTGGGGGGGAGAAGGATTGGGGAGGTCAGCTTTAGCGGACGTTTGCTGCATGAGCAAAAGATACACATCAGCTCAGCTGAGAGGGAGAGGGGAAGGAGGAGGGCAGTGGGCCCAGGGCAGGGCGGGCGTGGCACTCACATGGCCGTGGATTCCTCTGCGTGGTGTCCTGGGGGCCGGATGATGGCAAAACCATTCTGAAGAGGTGCAGACAGAGGGACGGAGATGACAGACAGACAGACAGGCGAGGTGGTCACAGAAGGGATGAATGCAGAGGAGAGAAACACACACCAGACAGGGAAGAGAACACAGATCAAAAACATGCATCCCACATGCTAGGAACACAGCCGCAGGCCACGTGGGCAGGAAATCACTGCCTCTGACCTCAAGAGCTCCCCCCATGAGAGCATCAGGTATCAGTGCCTCTTTGCCACTCATCTTCCTAGCTGGCCTGGGACCCATCACCTCCCCACCCCCCACTCTGGCCCCTGAGAGTTAAGGGTGCCTGCTGGCTCAGGGCAAAGCCAAGGCTGCCCCTGTCCTCCGCCCCCCGAGGATGCAGGACCGGGCCCCAGGTGTGCACTCACCTTGAGCTCTCCTGCTGCCACCTTGAAAGCCAGCTCTACCAGGCAGCCCACGGCCATGCGCACTGCACTGGAGGAGTGCATCTCGTTCCACACTGTGTCACTGTCCACCTGCGGGGGCAGGAGAGCAGGCTTCAGCGTGCCCCCTGCGGGGGGAGGGCAAGAGTGGGGGTGGGCACCTGGACAGTGGGCCAGCAGCCATGGCAGGCAGGAAAGGGGAAGGGGGGCAAGAGCTGGGAGTGCCACCCATCCATCCCTACTCACAGGCGCCCTACTCACCCCAATGCCCCCACAAGGCAGCACAGCATACATCTTCTGGCTGATGGGGCCTGCAAGGAAAAGGGACAAAGCTACTCTGCAAGTTGCCTCAACCGCCAAGACTACAGGTTGGGGCCTGCAGAGGGCGGTGAGCTCCGTCCCCAAAAAGGAAGGCCAGACCCAAGCACAGGACAGGCCTCTGCTGCCCACGCCACTTGGGAGATGTCTGTCCCCTATCCTGGGGCAGGAATGCCTCACCTCTGGGCAGATGGCAGGGAGAAAGGAGCATGATGGTTTAGGGAGAAGAGCGGAGCCCTCCCCCATCCCTAAGCCTGACCCGTCCCCCTCCACCCTCCTGCAATGCAGCTCACCCACACAGTGGGCTGTGTGAATGGCGCCCCCTGGCGTTGTGCGGTGGGCCGGTGAGCCTCCTCCACTAGGGGGATGATTTGGGCCCACTAGGACGCCCTTGCCTACGCGGCCGGCTCCCTATCCCGCCAGTACAGCACGCACAGCCTGGCCCTGGCTCACCGAGCAGCTTCTTGCTGTCCAGCTTCTGTCGGTTGAGGGGGCTGGTCCCATAGAGCAGGGTGTGGTATTCGGAGTGCACCGTCTGGATCTCATCCAGCGTGGCTTTGCGACCCCGGATCCGCTGTGCGGGGAGAGCAGGCAAGGCCGGTGAGGGGTGCACTGAAGGCCCAGCTCTCCCTGATGCCCAAACCCTCTCTCTGTCCTACAGCCTGGGACACACGAGGCCATTTTCTGGCCTTAGGAGAGCAAAAGGGTTTTGAGGAAGTACAGTAAGACCCTGGTTTGGGAGCGTACTTTGTTCCAGAAGTATGCTCGTAATCCAAAGCACTTGTGTATCAAAGTGAAGTTCAAGAACGGCTGGCTCAGTTGATGTTTGGTGGCACATACGACTCGTATCGCAAGACATTGCTCATTTATCAAGTTAAAATGTATTAGAAACGTTTGCTTGTCTTGTGGAACACTCGCAGAACAAGTTCCTGGCCATCCAAGGTTTTACTTATGCCCCGGCCCCCCATGCACCCCAGTCCAGGACCACCCTCCCCATTCGGCAAAACGGGCTATGAGGGCTGGAACCGAGAGGGGGCTGAGGGGACTGACCTTGAGGTCAGAGGTTCAAAGAAAAATGAGAAAGACCCAGAGAGAGGCCTCAAGGACACAGAGACACAAAACTCTTGCTGGATTTGAGGGGGGGTCCTGAAAGAAGGAGAGGATCCCTCACCTCGCACTTGCTGAGCAGGCCCGTCTCCTGCAGCCGGGACCAGATGCTCTGGATCCGGCCGGCGTGCTCGGGGTGCACGTGCGTGTTCCCGCACATGCACTGGTGCTTCAGCATGAATGTGTCGTAGACCACACCTGGACCAAGGGACATAGTTGTCAGCCTAGCCGCAGCCACCGCAGCCGCCTTCCCGCATACCCGCCCCTCTTCTCTCCTGCGGTTCCTTTCAGTTCCTTTCTCCCATCACCACTGGTCAAAAGCCTCCCTGCTCCTCCAGCCTCAACCAGGCTGCCCCTGAATGTTTATTTCGAGAGAGGAGAGATGGGGGAAGAGCACAAAGAGAAAGAGAGAATCGGAAGCAGGCTGTGTACTGTCAGCGCAGAGTCTGACACGGGGCTGGATCTCACCAACCTGTACGATCATGACCTGAGCTGAAATCAAGAGTCAGACGCTTAGGGGCGCCTGGGTGGCTTAGTCGGTTAAGCGTCCAACTTTCGCTTAGGTCATGATCTCGCGGTTCGTGGGTTCGAGCCCCGTGTCGGGCTCTGTGCCGACTGCCAGCTCAGAGCCTGGAGCCTGTTTCAGTCTGTGACTCCCTCTCTCTCTGACCCTCCCCTGCTCACGCTCTCTCTCTCTCTCTCTCCCCGCTAGAAATAAAAAAAAAAAAAAAAATTAAAAAAAAAAGAGTCAGACGCTTAACTGACTGAGCCACACAGGCGCCCCGCCCCCAGCGGTTTTGCTTTCTGCAGGTCATGCCCTCAACACTGTAGCCCCCTTCAGGGCACATTCACCTTTCCCCCTTCTGTCACAGAGCCTGTGTGCTGCTCCCCCAGCCCCGCACAGTCCCCTGGTGAGGTAGGACCATTCCTGGGCACCTGTGCCCATTCAGAGCCCAGCACAGGGTAGTTTCATGCGGAAACACTTTCTGGAATGGACTGAGGCCTCGCTTTTGACCCCACAGGGAGGAAGATGGGCAGCTGGAAGGACAGGGACCAACTGAGAGAGGGGACTCGCTTCACCCAGGCCCCCAAGGCCTTACGCAACGATGGTGCCAAACACAGGTGGTCCCTGAGCGGGTCGCACAAGGCGAGACACGATGCACAGGCACCCCGGCCCCTGCAAGGACAGCTGGCGGGGGGTGGGGCTCACCCGTGGTGAAGAGGTGTTTGGTGGGCTGGTCTGGGGGGCTCTTCATGCCCCCAGGGGCAGCAGGTGAGGACTGGGTGCGGCCTAGGGCCTGATGGGGCACAGTGGCCAGGCTGAGGGGTGCCTGGTACACCTGAAGGGGCTGCAGCTGCTGGGCATCAGAGAACACCTGGACAGGAGGAGAGCGTGGGTGAGACGGAAGTGAGGACCCTAAAGGGGCCCCTATTCCAGCACTTCTCTTCCAAACCTCCTCCTTCCCCCATTTCCTCCCACCAGGGACAGGAGCCACTCCAGCCTTCACCATCTCCACCTCCCGGGAGATGGGGGGGGGGGGACGGAAAGGGATGAGTCACACACCAGAGTAGCATTGAGGTAAGAGGCTGGGAGGGACGGGGGCGTGGGAGGGGGCAGGATGAGTCAGGCCCGGAGGGCTCGGCTGTGTCCGCAATGAATGGAGCGCGTTCTAGGTGCAGGGGGACTGTAGTAACAGCGGGGGCGTGTGTGTACACACACGCGCACGCACGCCGAGACCAACGCGCCACCGGCCCTACGCAAGCAGAAACGCAGATACACAGGCCACGTGCGTACACACACACACAGACACACACACACATGCGCGCACGCAGCCTGTGGCAGGGGCAGACGCAGACACAGGGAGGGGCTGGCAGAATGGGGCACAGATGGCTCTGAGACCAACACAAGCAGCACCCCCTTCCAGAGCCCCTTGTCTCTTTCCCACTCCGCTTTGGCTCTCTTCAGAGAGTGCAGACTGGGGAGAGCGAAAGGCAGAGATGGAAAGGGGCTGCAGGGGACAGAGGGGCGGCCATCAAGGGCTGGGGTGGAGGGGGCACACCTTCTTGTAACCAGCACTGGACTCCTCCGAGTCGGGCCCCTCCTCAGTGCCACTCTCGCCTTCCTCGTCCTTGACCTGGATGCAGTCCTCCTCCTCCTCTTCCTCCTCCTCCTCCTCCTCCTCCTCCTCCTCCTCCAGGTCTTCCTGCGTGCTCTCGCTCTCCGTGGAGCCTTCCCGGGGGATGGTCAGGGCTCCCTCCCCAAGCAAGGCCTCCTGCTGCTCAGTCAGCTCCTCCTCTGTCTCCTCGGGGTGGGTGGTGGGCTGCCGAGGCAGCTCCCCAGTCTTGGTGAGGATCTGGAAGCAGAGCAGAGGGGCACGTCAGCTGGGAGGGGGAGCCGCCGCGCAGCCCGTGGCCCAGGAGGGTGTCCTCCCCTCGCCTCTCCCAGATAGCAGCCCAGCCCTGTACAGAGCTGCCATATAAGGCAAGGTGCCAACCCTGAGCAGATACCCGGGGTGCCCGCCCCCACTCCCTTTCTGCCATCCTGTGTCCCGCCCCCAGCACAGCCCTGGCCAATCGCTTCTCCCAGCTCACCTTGCCCAGCTGCAGCTGCTGTTGCTTCTGTTTCTCCAGGAACTGCTGGTGCTGCTGCTGCATGACCAGCTGCTGCAGGGCCTGGGGGCTCTGGGGTAGCGGGGAGGACTGAGTGCGGCTCAAGGGCCGGTGCCGCGGGAGCTTGCCCACTGTCCGCATGCTGGTGGCCACACGTTCACCTGTCACCAGCGGGGACTGCCCGTGGAGTGGCACTGTGCAGTGGGGAAAGGCGAGGAACCATCACTGTAGGGGCTCCGGGCCGCCCCACCCATCTATCCCAAGGCTCTCCCCCTCCTAGAAGACCATCACCACCTACAGAATCAGGAGAAACCTTGGAGGGCCTGCCACCAAGCCTCAGCCCTGTTCCTCCTCCCCACAGTGCAACAGTTTTGAAGCTTAGAGCCACCGCCTCCAGGAAGCCATCCTGGATTCACCACACTCTCTCTTTGATTCCCTGATGATTGCATATTCGGTCTTAGGCCCTCAGTATGGCGGGACAAGGACTAGTTTTCTCCAACTGCAACAAGACCTCCCTGATCACAGACAAGGATCCCGTCGGGCGGGGGAGGCCGGGGCTCAGGATCACTAGTCTTTGAAGCAGAACCTCTTCTGATGTAACCAGCTGCTTATGGTCTGACCGTCCAATCCCGTAGTTGCCAGCCACATGTGACTATGGAGCACTTAAAATGTGGCCTGTCTGAATTGAGATGTGCTGTGTGAAATATACACTGGATTTCCAAGACAGCATGGGACACAAAACAAATTGTCTCGTGAAGAGTTCCCTATATGTTCAATGTATATTATATGTTGAAATTCTAACATTCCAGATCTAGTGAATTAAACATATATCAAAGTTGGGGCACCCGGCTGATTCATTCGGAGGAGCGTGAGACTCCTGATCGTGGGGTTGTGAGTTCAAGCCCCAGGTCAGGTGTACAGAATAATTAAGTAAATAAAACCTTAAAAATATGTATATGTACGTATATACATATGTATATATATGTGTGTATGTATGTATATATTAAAGTTCATTTCACTGGTTTCCTTTCACAATTTTTTTTTTTTAATATTTTTATTTATTTCTAGGAGAGAGAGAGAGAGACAGCGTGAACAGGGGAGGGTCAGAGAGAGAGGGAGACACAGACTCTGAAATAGGCTCCAGGCTCTGAGCCGGCAGTCAGCACAGAGCCCGACGCGGGGCCCGAACCCACGAACCGCGAGATCATGACCTAAGCGAAAGTCGGACGCTTAACAAACTAAGCCACCCAGGCGCCCCCACAATTTTTTTTTTTAAACATTTTTATTTATTTCTAGGAGAAAGAGACAGAGAGAGAGAGAGAGCGTGATCAGGGGAGGGTCAGAGAGAGAGGGAGTCACAGACTCTGAAACAGGCTCCAGGCTCTGAGCTGGCAGTCAGCACAGAGCCTGACGCGGGGCTCGAACCCACGAACCGCGAGATCATGACCTAAGTGAAAGCTGGACGCTTAACTGACTAAGCCACCCAGGCGCCCCTCCTTTCACAATTTTTTAAAAGATATTATTTTGGGGGCGCCTGGATGGCCCAGTCGGTTGAGTGTCTGACTCTTGATTTCAGCTCAGGTCATGATCCTAGGGTCATGGGATCGAGCCCTATGGCAGGCTCCACACTGAGTAAGAAGCCTACTTAAAAGATTCTCTCTCTCTCCCCCTCTGGCCCATTCACCTGCTCTCTCTCTAAAATAAAAAAATTAGGGGTCCCTGGGTGGCTCAGTCGGTTAAGCATCCGACTTCGGCTCAGGTCATGATCTCACAGTTCGTGGGTTTGAGCCTCGTACTGGGCTCTGTGCTGACAGCTAGCTCAGAGCCTGGAGCCTGTTTGAGACTCTGTATCTCCCTCTCTGACCCTCCCCTGCTCACGCTGTCTCTCTCTCTCTCTCTCTCTTAGAAATAAATAAAACAGGGGTGTCTGGGTGGCTCAGTCAGTTAAGCATGCGACTTCAGTTCAGGTCACGATCTCGCAGTTCATGGGTTTGAGCCCCGCATCAGGCTCTCTGCTGACAGCTCAGAGCCTTGAGCCTGTTTCGGATTCTGTGTCTCCTTCTCTCCCTGCCCCTCCCCCACTCATGCTCCGTTTCTCTCTCTCTCTCAATAATTAAAAAAACATTTAAAAAAAGAAAGGAAACATTAAAATTAATTAATTTTTAAAAATTAAATTAAGTTTAAAAAATTAATTAAATAAAAATAAAAAGATTTGGGGCACCTGGGTGGCTCAGTTGGTTTAATGTCCAAGTCTTGATTTTGGCTCAGGTCACAATCTCACAGTTTGGGAGATTGAGCCCCGCGCTGCTCTGTGCTGACAGTGTGGAGCCTGTTTGGGATTCTCTCTTTTCCTGTCTCTCTGCCCCTCCCCTGCTCAGGAGCTCATGTGCACACTTGTGCATGTGCTCTCTCCCTCTAAATGAATACACTTTAAAAATAAATAAATAAATAAAATGAACTTTAATTCAAATTAAAAAAGATTTTGAGTAAGCTCCACACCCAATATGGGGCTCAACCTTACAACTCCGAGATCAAGAATCACATGCTCTACTGACTGAGCCTGCCAGGCGCCCCTCTTTTTATATTTTTTAACGTGGTCCTAGAAAACTTTAAGTTGCACATGTGGCTTGGGCGGTATATCTATGGGACGGCACTACTTGGGACCCTGAGCACGTCAGTCACAGCAGTCAATGTCAAGAATGGCGTCCAGGGGGGCCGCCTGGGTGGCTTAGACGGTTAAGCGTCCGACTTTAGCTTAGGTCATGATCTCGCGGTTTGTGGGTTCGAGCCCCGCGTCGGGCTCTGTGCTGACTGCCAGCTCAGAGCCTGGAGCCAATTTCAGAGTCTGTATCTCCCCCTCTCTCTCTGACCCTCCCCTGCTCACGCTGTCTCTCTCTCTCTCCTAGAAATAAATAAAAAAAATTAAAAAAAAAGAATGGCGTCCGGGGGGCTATAGGTACTTGGTAATGTCTGAGCAACATGATACGGAAGAAATCACTGATGCCACGGAGGGGGGCTGTGGCAGGGCTGAAGAGTGTCCCTGGTTCCCCCCTGATGGTGGCCTCACGCCCTCGGCAGAGCCCGCTACCCCCCACCCCCACACAGCAGCCGCCCCCACTCACCTGCGATGAGGGTGCTCTGCTGCCGAGCCTGCTCCAGCAGCAGCACGTGCTGCAGCAGCGAGGCGTGCCCGTGCGGGCTGCTGTCACCCTCCAGCGCCACACCAAGCAGGCAGCCGGGGATGGAGGACGTGCTCATGAACTTGCCCGTCAGCGCGCCACCCTGCCGCAGGGACTGGAGGGCCTGCCTCTCGGCCTCCTGCTGCGTTGACAGCTTCGGGGAGGCCTGGCGGAGAGCAAGGAGATCGAGATGAAGGAGGGGCAGGAGTCGTCCCCGGTCCTGCCAACTAGGGATCAGCATCCCTCACCTACCACCTCCCGGCCCAGCTCTGAGGAAGGCCATCTGATCTCCTTCAGGGCCTCGTGGGGACAAAAGCCCCAGCTGGAGGCACCCAGGACCACAAACCTAGACACCAGAGGGGGGATGGGGCGTGTGCCTCATACTTACGGTGAGGTGCGAGTTGGTGACAGTGACTGTGGCCTGCAGCCCTAGGGAGATGTTGGGCAGAGAGGGAGACGTGTAGAGGCTGAACTGGTTGGGGGAGCTGTCCAGAGGGAGGGCCCGGTGCTGGGGGAGCATCTAGGGAGCAGTCGGGAGAGACAGGCATGAGGGCAGGCAAGGGGGGGCCGCCTGGGGCCAAGGGCTCCGAATGGTGCCTCGCTCCCCACTCCCCATCCCGAGCCCCACCTGGGCAGTACTGAGAGATCACAGTCTTTCAGAGGCCCGTGGGACAGATCCCACTTAGAGGCGACAGGTCCCTCTAGCCTGTCCACATGGGCAGAGAGGTCCCTGCTGGGTACTCTCAGCAAAACAGACAGGAAGGAGCTGCCTTCCTTCTTCCAAGGGAAACGGAGAAGCTCGGGCCCGCCCGCCCAGCCCTCGCAGGCCTGTACCTCGGTGGGGATGTTGGGGACCGAGCCAGTAAAGCCATTCTCAGCAATGGTGCTGTGGGAGCTGTTGGGAGAGCTGGGGCCGGAGCCTGGTGCGCTGTTACACACGGACGACACTATGGGAGAACTGGCTGTCACCTGGGCTTGCTCAGAGCCACCTCTCCCCGCTCCCAGGACCTCCGAAAAGGCACAGAAGGGGAGCCCTTACCTCCAGGCCCAGCACCGGTGATCTCAACGGCTCTCTTCTTAAAGGTGCTAATGACTGTCCCATCCTTGCGACGCAGGAGGGGACTGCTTCTCCGCTCAGCCACCTTCTGCTTTAGCCTCGAACGCACTTTCAAGTTGGGTTCAGAGGCTAGGGAGAAGGTAGCCAGGGCTCAGACCCGTCTACACAGATGGGCACACACCTGCAGCCTGGCCCCTCCACCTTCCCACTCCTGCCTCCACGGAGCCATATTGTGGGAGGCTAGGCTGGGCACTGCTCACCTGTTTTGCGGAGGGGGAAGTCATCGCGGCTATCATAGGGCCCAAGCAAAGGCAGTTTGTAGGAGGGAGGCGTCCCAGGGGGGCCACTCTGGGGAGGGGAACTCTGGTCCAAAGAAGCATGGTGGGCTCCCCTGGGGGGATGGGGGGTGGGGATGGAAACAGATCTAGGTTATTACCCAGCCAGCCAGACCTGCCACCTAGCAATCACATGCAGGAAACACCCACTACATAAAGGGACAGGAAAGGGATCCTGGGGAGGGAAACAGGGAGAGAAGCCAGGGGTGGGGATCTTGTCTCCTAAGAGAGATCGCAGGGCCTGTATCTGGCTTCTGGCCAGGCACCCCCTGCCACCCTGCAGCCAGGCAGCCCCTGATGGGGGTACCTCTGTGACCCACGCCTGCCCAGGGCCATTACCAGCATTTGGGATGCTGTGGGAGGGAATGGTTGAGGCCGCCCGGTGTGGGCTCCTTTGACTTCGACAGAAGGAACTCCTGGAGCCTCAGCTTCACCTCAGTGCTGGCGATGGCACCTGTGGGACAGGGCACCGCTGACCTGGGTGCTCGGGGCGAGGAGCCCACAGCTGGGGGGTGGAGGGAAGAGGGGGGCAGGAGGCCCCAGGCCTTACTCTCTTTGCTCTTCTCCTTGTTTCGCAGGATGAGCAGCTGCTGCTCCAGCCGCTGCTTCTCCAGCTCTTCCTGCCGCTGCTGCTCCCGCTGCCGCTGCTGCTCCAGCTCCTGCTGCCTCTTGGCCGCCAGCATCTCCTGCTGCTGCTGCAGGGGCATGGGGGGAGGGGAGGGGGTGAGCCAGGTCCGGGCGGGGGTCGGAGGTCTGGGCGGCACCCCCCGCGCCCCCCTCGCTCACCTTGAGGTGCTTCTGCAGCTGGACCTCATGCTGCCGGGTCAGGTGGTCATGCTGTTTCTGGAACTCGGCGAACAGGAGCTGCTTCTGCAGCTGCTGCTGCTGCTTGAGTGCCAGAAGCTCCTGCTGCAGCTGCTGCTCCCTCAGCGAGGGGTCCACGGGGCCTGCCAGGGCACCCCGAAGCTCCGCGGGGCTGGGGCTGCCTCCACCCCCGCCCCCCATGGAGCTGGGCATGGCTCCGGGCAGCACCGGCTTCACCTCCACTGCAGGGAGAGGAGACAGGCGTCAGTGAGCCCACTCCTAACACCACCAGGCCGTGGTGGCGGTGCTGGGGGCCCAGAAAGCTCCCAGGCAGGACCTCTAGACCCAAGAGAATAGATGGCAGGCGGTGGGGGGGGGAAGCAGTGAAATCCCTCTGCTCCACAGAAACAGTGTTCCTCCTTAATTAAATGAGGTCAAAGAAGGCGGGGCGCCTGAGTGGCTCAGTTGGCTGAGCATCTGACTTCGGCTCAGGTCGTGATCTCATGGTTTGTGAGTTCAGGCCCTGCATCGGGCTCTGCATTGACAAATCAGAGCCTGGAGCCTGCTTCGGATTCTGTGTCTCCCTCTCTCTCTGCCCCTCCCCTACTCACACTCTGTCTTTCTCTCAAAAATAAATAAAGATATTTAAATGAATAAGTAACTAAATAAAATAAATGAGGTCAAAGCCATGAACTTCAATAAGAAAATACACAAAAGCATGAAGCACAGTCCCTGGAAGATTGCTGAGTGCTCAACACGTATTAAGTTATCTTGGATTGTCAACACCACTGGGCATTTTACATGAATTGCTTTACTAAACAAGAAAGCCAAGCTTTAGAAAAGTTTAAGTATAGGGACACCTGGGTGGCTCAGTCGGTTAAGCGTCTGCCTCTTGATTCCAGCTCAGGTCATGGTCTCACAGGTTGTGAGATCGAGCCCTGTGTCAGGCTGCACACCCTGAGTGTGGAACCTGCTTGGGATTCTCTCTCTGTCTCTGTCTCCTCCCCCCAAAGAAGTAAATAAGCTCAAAACAAGAAAGAAAGAAAGGTTTAAGTACATGACCAAACACGCACAGCCAGGTGATCAGAGAACTAGAACGTGAATCCAAAACCTATGCTTCTAACCAGTGTCCCTCCCGGGTCTCCTACCCACCTCTCAACATCACACATTCCCTGCCAAGGAATAAAGAAACTGAGGCACCCAGGCTGGTTCTAGAACTGATGGGCCTGCCAGCCAGGGTCCTTAGTAAACCCAGGAAAGGCCTGTGGGGACCCTCAGGACCCATGTACACTCTCCCTTTTTCTCTGCCCCACACCCAGCTAAGGTGGTGGGGCCCAAGGGAGAGGCTGTAAGAACATGGCAGGGGGGGGGGAGTGGGAGCAGGAGGCCTCAGGGAAAGGGGGTGCAGGGCTGCACCAAACCAGGGACAGGAGGGGGCTGGGAGTCAGACTCTGCTTCCTTTGCTGGATTATCTCCTTTCAACAGTTTTATTGTAATTACCCTGAAAATGCCGCTATATATAGAGTGAGCCAAACAGCAGCTGTGCCTTGGGGGGGGGGAGGGGGAATGAGAGAATGGGCGGGCAGGCGCAGGGAGGAGGTGGGAGGAGGAGACAGGAAAGGAAAGGGAATCAGACAGGAAGAAGGGTAATGGCAAGGGGGGTGGAGGCTGGAGCTCAGGCAGAGAGATCTCAGAACTCTGATCTCAGGGAGAACCTGCTGGGAAGGGGAAAGGGGTGGAGGGTCTGCTGGGTCCCAAGACCTGGGCTCCAGGCCCCCATGCGGACAATGGGCTGAGGGGGCCCCAGGGAGGGCCAAGTGTTCCAATGGGCTTATGGGAAACATGGGTCTCGACCTCCTGATCCCTGTACACTGTCCTCTGGTCACTGAATGTCACTCCCCACCACTGCCCCGTGGTTGCCAGGGCAACCAGGCAAACACCACACCAGCAGGGAGCCCCAAGCCCAGCCCACGCTGCAAAGAGCCTGCAGGCCTCCAGCAGGAAGGGGAAGGCCGGCTACCCACTGCCCAGGAAGGAGGAAGTGAGAGAGGCAGGGCAGACACACCTTGTTTCTTTTCCATTTCACTCTCCAAAGAAAGCCCTCACTTTTCTCACTCCAGCCCAGGGAGGAAGGAGCTGGGAAGGCCTTCCTGTGGCAAGGCAGCCCACTCCAGCCTGGGCCTGGAGAAAGAAGGACCCCTACATCTTGGTGGCCGCCAGTGTCTCCTCCCCTTGCGGGCAGGGGTCTGCCCAAGCCCCTATCACCAATCTTCATCTCGATCCTCACCTCAGCACCTGGAGACGGAGCTGGGAAGGGACTAAGGGCGGAGCTGAGACAGGCTTCCACACCGTGTGCAGTTAATGGGCCTGGACCTCTCCTGGGAACCCACACTGAATGAGTGTCACCCAGGCAGGGGCAAGGCCTGCTGAAGGCTAAGGCCCTGCTGCAACCCTTATGCCTGAATCCGGCCTCTGGGACCCAGCGGAGGTGGGGCTGGGAAGGTAAAGCCTGGGCAGAGTATCTCGGTCCCCCCGCCCAGCCCCTTCTCCGCCGGGCACTGCTAGGCACATTCCTCTGTGGTTTGCCCGCCAGCCACACTGACGACTCTGTGGCCACGAGGCCAGAGCCACATCTGCAGGAGTGGCCAGATGTGGCCAGGAGGGTGGGGTTACATACACAGGCACACACACAACTCGCTCATTTTCCCTCCCAACCCATGTCCTGCCCCAGCACCAGGAGGAAGGACCCTCGGAAAGGCCCTGCCAAAGACTTTTCTGGAGGTGGCCGACCCCCCCCCCCCAGGGTGCAAAGCAGGACGAGGGCAAGGAACCAGCAGCCAGCCTCAGGTCTCCCCAGGTCCGGAAGTGCTCAACGAAGCCCCAAGCTGGCGGGAGAGTCGTCTATTCCTCAAGGCTGGCTTGGCCCGTGGTGCTCTGAGCGCTCAGCCAAGAGAAGGACAGGCTTCAACTTGCCGCTCCGGGCGGTGCTGGGGCTGCCGGGGCTGCAGGAGCCGGATGCCCGCCAGCCTGTCCGCCCAGAGAAGGGCAGGGGTCCAAGTGCTGCTGGCTCCCAGCAGATAACCCTGTTAGGGATGTAACTGTGGCCAGCAGTGCTGGCTTCCCTTGCGGGAGCCCTGCAGAGAGGGCACGGGCTCGGACAAGGGGAATCTCCCACCAGGGCTCCCATGCAGCCGCCACCACAGCAGAGATGCTAGGGCCCCACTGGTATGCGGGTGGCAGGACGGCCAACAGGCTCCGGGAACAGCCTTGTTCCCATGCAAGTGGGAAGCACAGCCCATTAGAGAATATTCATCCCCAGGCCCCGTGAGGGCCTTGACGGAGTACGGCACCCCAGGGCTCTGCCGGGGCGTGACTGGGCTCCATCTATGACACGAGGGGGGGTGGCTGGGCACCGGGAGTCAGGGGAAGGGTGTGGGGGAGGCACAGAACCTTCTGAATGAAGTCTGCTGGGCACAGAACCTAGAGCCTGGCTGGCCTGGCGCCCCCTAGAGGATAGTGCCCTCTGCCAGCTTGGCAGGAACAGGGCAGGTATCAGTGGCTGCCATCATAACCAAGCACCTGGAAGGAGAAATGGGTGTGGCAAGATCGGAGGAGGCTCTCGACCGCCTCCTGGTGGACCAAGAAAGCGGAGGACGTCAGAACAGGAAGGAGGGGGGTGGAACATTCTCTAAGAGGAAAGGCTGGGAACTCTGGCTAGCCAAGAGCCCCCGGAAAGGCCGAGAGAGGGATCAGTTGGGAGGGCAAGGACCGGGGTCCTTCCCTTGGCCCCCATGCCTCCTTCTGACCGTGGGTTGTAGAGAATGGAGCAGAAGCCAGACAGCCCACACAGTAATCTAGAGAGGGAAGCTGAAAGGGTCCAGGCCTACCCTGCTCCATACTCTGCTCCTGAAGGACTCTGACCCCTCTGCCTGAGAGTGGTGGCGTTTAAGAAAAAGTGGCAATGTCATCCTGTCCTCTGGCCATCTGCAAGACTGACTCATACTGCCTCCGTGGAGAAGCCCCAGCCCAGGTAGCTGAGTGGGCAGGGCTGTGTATTTCTTACCATCAGGGTGGCCCCATGCATCCCAGGCGCTGGCTCAGAAGGACTAGCTCACAGGCACACCTGGGCACACCTCCGTGATGATACTCCCCTCCCAACCAGCGGGGCCTCCCCACACTCCGTGAACCCCACCAGCCCAGGTGGGGCTCCCACGGCAGATCGTTCAGGCAGCACAAACAGGGAGAGCCTGGCTCCTCACGAGGAAGATAATACGGGAGCTGACGGTGCAACTTCTGGGATGGCCACCTGTACAACCTTAGACCAAAGAGAGTGTCCAGACAAAGCAGGACATCGTCCCTGGAGCAGGCAGGAGCTCTGGGCCATGAGGAGCAGATTTTAGCAGTGCTTTGGGAACAAGGGTTCAAAACGAAAAACCCATCTGGCTGCCCAAGGGCAAGGCCAAGCTTTCCTCCTGCTCTGAGCATCCTGCCGGACACGCCCCAGCTCCAAGCCCTTGAATGGAGAAATTGCCAGAACCGTAGGCACCCAAACTCTGGAAGCAGGGAGAGAGCACCTTTCATTCCCCCTGGAGAAGGCCTAGACGGAAGGGGCCTGCGCAGCGAGTGGACCCGCCCAACAGACCTAAAAAGCTTAATTCCGGGCTCTAAAAAGACCCCGGTCCCAGGAGCTACCAGCCACAGAAAGCTAGGGGTGAAGGAAGCGACCCAGGGTGGGCAGCGCATGAGAGACGGGTGCGCTGAGCAGTTTGGAATGTCTGCACAGGACCAAAAAAAAAGACTCCTTTACAGATAAGCCCTGGATCTAAGGAGCTACCCTATCAAAAGAGGGAAAAGTGGGGGAAAGGCCTTGGAGATCATCTGTTTCGGCCCCCTCTTCTGCACAAAACTCAGGCTGCCATGTGGAAGATTCCACCAGCCAAGGAGCAGGGACTCACACCCTCTGAACACTAACCTAAGCAATCTGGCTCTGATGCAGGGCATCCCGGGCCCTCCATACTAGCCAGCCTGGGTAACTGGCCCCACTGGAGAGCAATGTGTGGGCAGCCCACCTGAGAAGGCGGCACTTTCCGCCGGCACCCCCTACCCTCAGGAGCTCCCTCTCCACGCTGGGCAGTCAGTGGCTTCCTTAAACGTCTAATGACCTCGTTCTGTCCCTCTGGAGAATGGGAAAAGGAGTTTGTCCCTTTCTTGGCCTTGAGGGATTTTAGAAGGAGGCAGGGAA